GTCGGCTCTTCCTATCATACCGAAGCAGAATTCGGTAAGCGTTGGATTGTTCACCCACTAATAGGGAACGTGAGCTGGGTTTAGACCGTCGTGAGACAGGTTAGTTTTACCCTACTGATGTGGTCGCCGCAACGGTAATTCAATTTAGTACGAGAGGAACCGTTGATTCAGATAATTGGTTTTTGCGGCTGTCTGACCAGGCAGTGCCGCGACGCTACCATCTGCCGGATTATGGCTGAACGCCTCTAAGTCAGAATCCGTGCCGGAACGCGGCGATGTTGCCCCGCACGTTGTAGTTGGATACGAATAGGCCTCCGGGCCCAGAACCTCAGCAGGCCGGCGACGGTGCCCGGGGAGAGACCCCCGGGCACCAGCTGGCGGATTGCAATGTCACCACGCGCGGGGATAGATCCTCTGCAGACGACTGAAATGACCAAGCGGGTCGTGTAAGCGGTCAAGTAGCCTTGTTGTTACGAGTCGCTGAGCGTCAGCCCGATCCTTGGCTCGATTTGTTGTAGACAACCCCCATCGGTACGAACAAGCCCTGGTATATCCGGGGGATCGAAGGGGGGATGGCTCTCCGGGGGAACAAACCTCGGTGAAGTTCAACAACTTCCCCTGAGAGCAGCACTTTTGAGGAGAGCTCAGCTCTTCTCTCTTCTCTCTCTCTTCTATATATATATATATATATATATATATATAAGAGGAATTATTTCCTCTCCTTCTTCCTCTCTTCTTCCTCTCTTCTTCCTCTCTTCTCCCTCTTCTTTCTCCCTCTTCTTTCTCCCTCTTCTTCCTTCCTTCCCCACTTCCCCTTCCTTTCTCCCTTCTCTTTCGGCCTCGATCGCCGGCTCCGCCGGCGAGAAAATTTTTTCAGATTTTTTTTGCTTTTTCCGGTGGCGTTCTTCCCCCGTCGTTGCCTGCACGTATGAGGAGCCCTCAGGGTCAATCAAGCACGGGGAGTCGTTGAAGGCGGGTGCCGGGCCGGATGTAACGCCGGCGATCAGTCACGTGATTATTTCGGGGGGTGCCCTCGCCGAAGATCGATCGATGATGGACGGCTGGAGATCTAGAGAGATCTTGAGAGATCTTGAGCAGATTCAGCTGAAGAGGTGTGGGCCGGCCGGCACGGAGATGGTTTCCGCGTCGAAGGTCGAGCGTTCACGTGACTCTCCTGGGGGGACCGAGGACCGGTCGGGAATGATTCAGTCGTCGAGGTGGTGCTGTGTTGAGCAAAACTTTTGGCCTCCCGGGGGGGGCCGGCGCGGGCGCGGCGGTGATGATTTCCACGTCAGGGTCGGGCGGCTGGGCCCCGAGACCGGTTCGACGTTGCTGAGTGAGCCAAGGACGTTCCGGACCGGCGCGGGGACCCGGGGTGGTTTCCTCGTCGGCTCAAGGTGAGATGGTGCCGGGGCGGCCGGCCGGGTAGTTCCCCGCGACTCCGCCCGGGGCGCGCGGGCTGGCGGTCAGTTCAGGACCTGGGAGCCTTGAACCGAACCCGGTGAGAGGGATGGGACGTCTTCTCCTTGCTCCGCTTTGAATATCAGGACAAGATGCGGATTGTGCACCACATGTGCACCACATGTGCATGCCTACCCACCCACACCACACACAACGCATCACACGCACCTGCCTGTGCGCATATGGCATATATATGTATTTATATATATACACATGCACACGCACGCACGCACATGGTGTCGTAGACGAGAACCTTTGCTTGATGCAGCGACTCAACCAGCTTCAACCGAACGAACCAGACGTCTGTGCTGATGCCGGCTGAAGGTCCGGATCGACCGGATGCACATCTCTGTCGGTGGGTGGGGTGAAGTGGATCTTGCAGGGTGATTCGGTTCAACGTCCCGATGAGCTCCATCCAGCTGAAGATGTTGACCGACTCACCGATGGAATCCATGTCGGATCCATGCATGCATGCACATGCCGACGTAGACACCACATCTGTCTCCCTGCTTCAGTGCGCGGGCGAGGCGTCGTGGTCCATACCCGCCGGGGTCGGCCCTCCGAAGGGATATTGTCGGATGAGGTCGCCCCTGTTCCCGCCCCTGTTCCGTCATATCCTCTCCCCCCCCCTTCAAGGCCATTCGGTCTCAGCTCAGTCGACGGGGAGAAGCGCTGCGGCCAAGGCGGCGGTGGGGCCCAGTTTCAATCCGGCCCATACAAATCGGTTCCCCCGACACGGATTTTCGGTACGGCGAGCGCAGTCTGGCAGGATCCATGGGGAGATGCCTCCGGGGAGTAGTTGTAGGCGGGAAGACACGGCGTCTCCAGTGGGAACGTGTCGTGCCTCCTGCCTGCAACGTGAGCCGCGTAGCGGCGGTTGGGTCTGCCGGCATCGGTGGGCACCCGGGAAGCTTCCTCCGCAGCTACGGCTGGTCGCGAGGCGATGGGCATCCCGGCCCCTCGAGACCGCTAACCGCGCCGCCTCGTCGCGACCCGCGAACCCTTTTCCATGCCCGGACGAGCTCCCCCGGTGTGGTCT